GACATCATCCATGCAGATGATTGTGTCCCCTGTCTTCAACAGGTGACAGATGTTCAGAAGAGCTGCTAAGCCCGAAGAATAAGCTAAACCTAGAACAGAACAGAGTAAGTAGCAGACAAGCTGTATTTGATGTGATACAACCTGGTTAGACCTGCCTTCACCTCCCTCACTTTGTCTCTCAAAGGAACCTGTTCTGTCATTCTCCCTCTCCCTCACTTGGTGAGTGGAGCCAGTTAAAGCAGCAGCTTGATTTACACAGCTTGGAACCAGGATGGACACTGGTGCCAGACTGGGAACAGACTGGGACCAGGGGCTGCCTGTTCCCCCTCCCCACTGCATCCAGCACTGCTGCACAGGGATGGATCAAGCTTAGCTCAGGCATCAAGCACAGTGAGGAAGAACAACAGAAAGCCCAGGGATTGAGCTGGACTTTCCAACAATAACTGCTGGACTATGACACGATAAAGCAGCTTTTGCTGTGAATAAGAACTGAGATCATGGAATCATGGCATGGTTTGGGTTGGAGGGGACTTAAAGCTCACCCCATTCCACTCCCTGCCATGGGCAGGGACACCTCCCACTAGTCCAGGTTGCCCCAAGCCCTCTCCAAGCCACGAATTACTCACTGTATTTGGCTCCATCAAGGGCGGCCACAGCCTTTTCCAGGCAATCCCGAGTTGGGTTCCCAGACCGGCTGTACTCATATCCCTGGGGTAGGAGTGAGAGACAATGTAAGAGAGAGCACTGGGAAAGCTTTAGACAATACTACTTCCAGGTTCCTTCAAGAGCCCTCACTGGGGGCATCCAGCTCCTCCCAGAACAGCAGGAGGGTTTCCTGGCACAACAACTGGGCATCTACACCAGCAAAAGCTGTCTGGGGGTGCACTGGGGGTGCAGCCACATTCTCCTACTTTTTCCTAAACATCAATCCGTGGTCACTGTTGGAGAAAAGGTCTTGGGCTGACACAATCCACTCACTCTCAGATCCCAAAATGGGTCAGGTTGGAAGAGACCACAGTGAGACATTTGCTCCCACCTCCCTGCTCAAGCAGGGCCATCCCAGAGCACATGGCACAGGATTGTGTCCAGAGTGTTCCTGAATATATCCAGGGAGGGAGACTCCACAACCTCTCTGGAGGGAATTATCAGGGAAAATTTTCCCATCTCCACCACGCTCAGCCTGAGAGATGGCACAGGGCCAACTGTACCTGTCACTTCCTGAGAGCCCAAACGTGTCCCTGGCAAGTTCCGCAACTCACTGCTCCAGCTTTTATGGGAATTCTGGGAAGATTTAATGGGGAAAACCACTCCTGCATGCTGGATGCAGCAGGTACAGAGAACCTGCTGAGCACCTGGGATTTGCATTCTTTGAGGATTCCTGTTTAATGACAACTTCCTCATGCTCTGGAATTCCTCCCAATCCTCCGGCAAAGCTCCCGGCAGGAACACCAACAGCCTGTCATCAGGATTGTGGATACAGCAGCTGACTCCTTCTGAGGACTTCTCCAGCGCAGCTGCCTGCTCCCAGGCATTCCCAGCTGAATTCTGTGTGGAATCAGGGATCACAGGGCACATCCCTTCTGCCCAGCCGGCCCAGTTCAGCCTGTGGCTTTGGAGCAGATCCTGGTTTAGGAGGGGCGGATTTGTGCCATGGCCCATCAGAAACTTCGGGATAGGTCAGTGCAAACCTTCCCAGTAGTTCCTATGGGGCATCCACAAAATCCTTATGAAATATTTCCTTCTGTTTGGAAGGAAAACTAAAGCAGCCTCTCACACAACATGTGTGAAGGAGAACACGGATTCTGCCTGGGCCCTGCATCTGGAAAATGGGCAGGTAAAGCTTCCGAGAGTCTCTGTGCAGCCCATGGAGCTGGGCAGCAGCATCCCTGCCCCTGCTCCCCTTCCTCCTCGTTTCACGTGGAAATCATTCCAAACTCTCTCAGTTCCCGGGAAAACACAATCACAGTCTGGGTCAGGCTGGAAGGGACCGCAGTGGCTCACCTGGTCCCACCTCCCTGCTCCAGCAGAGTCATCCCAGAGCACATGGCACAGGATTGTGTCCACACAGGTCTAGAATATCTCCAGTGAGGGAGATTCCACCTGGGCGAAACCACCGCTTCCAGCGGGAAAAAGATGCTCTTTTTGTCCAGAAGCTGCCACGTAGGAAAACACTTCCATCGGGAGCTCCCTCCCCTTCCCAGGGGCAGCCGCTTCCCGGACCTCCCCACGCCGGGCCTTCGGGGTCCCCCCGGTGTGCCCATTAGCTCAGTGCCCCCGTGGGTGTCTCAGTCCCCCCGAGGACGGCTCGGTACCCCCGCAGGTGCCCCGGGGGTGACCCGATGCCGCGGTGGCGGCCGCACTCACCGCGTGCTCGCCGGGCGCCCGCTGCTTGAAGGTGGTGGAGAGCGAGATGGGCGGCACCACGGCCCCGGAGCGCCACTGCTCGGGGTCCTGCCCGGCGTGGATGGCGCGGGTGGCGAAGTGAGGGAAGGGTGGCAGGAAGCCGCGCTCCATGGCCGCGTGTCCCGTGTGTTCCGTGTGTCCCGCGTGTCCCGGGAACTGCCGCAGCCGCGGCGGCACCGCCGGGGGCACGGCGAGGGCGGGGCCTCGGCGCGGCCTCCCATTGGCTGCGGTGCCGGGGGGCGGGGCCAGACCTGCAGTGCAGCGCCCGCCCGCCGGGGGGAGCTCGCGAGCCGGGATCGTCCCGATCCTGGGGGATTGTCCCGATCCACGGGCGCCTTCCCTGGGAACGGAAAAGGGAGCAGCGCTGCCTGGATCACCTCAGCATCTGGGAAGAGGTAACCTCAGTACCAGCACACCCTGAAGTGACCTACGAGAGCAGAGCTGCAGAGAAGGATCTGGGAGTCCGAGTTGTCCCTGAGCCAGCCGTGTGTCCTGGAGCCAGGAGGGACAATGGGTTTCGGGGCTGCCTCGGGAAGAGCATTGCCAGCAGGTCAGGAAGGGGATCCTGCCCCTCTGCTCAGATCTGTGGAGTCACATCTGGAATGCTATGTCCAGTTCTGGGCTCCTCAGGACACAAGGGACATGGAGCTCCTGGAGAGGATCCAGCAGAGGCCACAAAGATGATTTGGAGCCTGGAGCATCTCTGATGAGAAGAGACCTGCAGGAGCTGGGCCTGGTCAGCCTTGAAAAGAGACACTGAGAGGGGATCCCCTCAGTCCATACAAACATCTCCAAGGGGTGTCAGAGGATGGTCCCAGACTGTACAGTGGTGCCCAGCGACAGGACAAGGAGCAATGGTCATAAACTAGAACACAAGAAGTTCCATCTCAACATGAGGAAGAATTTCTTTCCATGGAGGTGGCAGAGCACTGGAACACCTGCCCAGGGAGCGTGTGGAATCTCCCTCTCTGGAAACATTCCAAACCCACCTGCTCCAGGTGACCCTGTCCTGACAGGGAAGGTTGAATTGGGTGATCTCCAGAGGTCCATTCCAAACCCAGCTATTCTGGGATTTTGTGAAATATCTTATTAATGTGTATAAATATCTAAAGGAGGGGTGTCAGAAGGTGGACCAGCCTCTGCTCCGGGGTGGCCAGCAATGGGACAAGAGGAACAGACAGGAACTGATGCCCAGGAAGTTCCACCTGAACATGAGAAGAACTTCTTCCCTGTGCAGCAACCGAGCACTGGGACAGATTGCCCAGAGTGGAATGGAGTGTCCTCACTGGAGATATTTCAGAACTCTCTGGACACAATCCTGTCCCATCTGGAATGATCCTGCTGGAGCAGGGAGGTGGGACCAGGTGAGCCACTGTGGTCCCTTCCAGCCTGACACATTCTGCATTCTGGGATTAAAAATTAATTCATTGTGTCTCCCTGCCAAGGTTATTCCACATGGATTGACATCCACAGAACAGCAGTTTGCCTTCTGAGGGCAAAGGGCACACAGAGGTGGGTTCAGTGTGCTGAAGGATAAGTACAAAGGGGTTTTATATTATACTTTTTAAAGAAACATTTTCTTTACAACAAAAATACAAATAAAGTATGAGCAAAACTGGATCTAAGCAGAGCAAAACCCCTGGGTGTGCACAGGGCAGTGTCTCAGCCTGAGCACACAGCAGGAACCTGAGATTTAGGAGGGAGGAATTTCACCCTGTGGTGACAAATCTGCTTCCTATGGGAAACAGATCCTATGGAAAATGTCCACACTAAGCTCAGGGGCGAAGCTTTGCTGTGGACAACCGTCCTGCCGGGTCACAGCATTTCAGGTACCACCAAATCCCATAACAAGTCTGTCTCCTTTTTATAAAATCCAGGACAGTCAAGCAGAGGCAAAAGCAAAATGGAATTATTTCCTTGGCATACAAAATTCCTTCCTCCTTTTTTCCACTGTTCACCTCCACATATTCCTGGAGGAGGCTGGGCCTGTCCCTTGGTGCTCCTGCTCCTTTCATGGACACAGATCTCACCCAAATATCCCCAAACCTCCTGCTGAAACACTTCACTGAGCCAGGACAAAAAGAATTTTAGTCCCATGGATCAGTCCAAGTGAAAAGCTTGTGGTTTTTCCTGTGTAATAAGGACATATAAAAATTCCTGAAGTGCTTTGGGACAGCACGAACTGCAAGGAGAATCAACACTTCCACTTGATGTCTTGAAGTTCCTTATCTGCTTTTTCTTGTTAAGTTTCATTTCCTTAAATCCTTCCAGGAGGAATGCACCCATGAGAGATCACTCCTCCATTATTTATTTCCTGCTGGAGGAATTCCTTAAGTGAAGTTTCCACAGAGCCACAGCCCAGGAACTGTAGGAAATGGAGTTCTGGCACAATTCCTACTACTTTTATCCCAATTGTCTTTGAGACAGAGAAATTTTCAGTCATTTAAGAAAATGGAGAATATAAACAATGCAAAGTTCTGTTGGTAAATGGTCAAAAAAAACCCGGTTCTCAAGAATTTTTAGGTCCATAATAATTACACAGTTGAGATTCATTACAAACACCAGTTTTTCCCAGAGCCCTTCCCATGAGTAATGTCTTAGTTACATTTCTGTATTGAAAAAGGACTCCATAATAAGCTGGTAAACAGTGACTTCATGCCTTCAGTAATTAAAAATGTAACGTGAAGCTTCCAACATCAGCTAAAGCCTGAGCTAATCCATCTATTCCACAAGACCAGCTGTGCTCCATGTGTGTTTCCAGCATAGCACCAGAGAACGGACAGAAGATATCAGACCTGCTGACAGTGCCAACATCTCACATCCTCCTTGTAAATGGGTTTTAATTTTCCCTAAAAACAAGAAAAGACAGAAAATCTTGTTGAAAAGACCAATGGAATATAGAGCAAAAGCAACTTTGGGGTTTTGTTTTCCCTAGAATGATTTAAAATTCTGTATTAGGACTGTAAAAACCTGTATGGGAAGCGGCTGGGCTGTCACAGAAACCGTATTTCATAGTTCCTAAATCTCCCTATAACTCTTCTTGGACACTTAGGATGAGTGGAGAGGATGCCAACTGGGGAAAGACAGAGGTCACCCCGGCAGGCAGTTCTGTACCACGTCAGGTCTGATCTCCCTGACAACCTGGAGGTAGTTTCCCCTGGAAGCATTAGTAAAATATCCAGCGTGCCTGGAATTTGATGCATCATCACTTTTTTAATTATTCATTCCACTATTGGTAGCAGAAACTTGCAGAACTGGCACTGGAGCAGGAGCTGCTGTGAGAAATCAGGAAGCTCTTACCCGAACAGGTACTTTCTAAGCTGACAATGCACCTCAAAGGACTGACACCAGGACAGGGTGACTGTCCTCTCTTTCCCTTTCCCTGCACATGGTTTTGAGCAAGACAACTTGTCCAGGTCCCGTTGTTCCCCAGGGAACTTGTTTCACAGTCATGTATCACACTGGAGCTTTTCCTTCTATTCCCCTGTCCCTCAGGGAAGGAAATAGGCACCAAAATGAGGCAAGTGGGTGAATAGTGAAGGGTCTGGGTGATGTTTTGTTCAGAGGAGCATTGGTGGCCTATTGCTTTTCCTTTTCTCACAAGGGGATTCATGGAAGGAGAGCCCTCCATGACACAGGAAATATCCCCGAGCTCGTGTTCTTTCTGGGATTTGGCTCATTTGTGTGTGGTTTGTTTACACCTCTGTGTAAATGCAGTGCATAGATACACGGGGTCATCTCTCCGTTGCGTCAGACCAGCATGGATCAGGAGATTCACCCTGGCACTTTACACATCCCAGAGGAATCCGGAGGAGTCATCACAGCAGATTTTGGCACTGGACTGAGGACCTCGGCCCTTCCCTCATGATGTACAGCACCAGAAATGGTGCTTCTTCCCCTCTGAGATGGGTGGGAGCAGTTCCTGACGACCAGACCCTGTGCTGGAGCAGCAGTGCTGCTCCAAGGAGATAGACACAGGCAGGCACATCCCTCTGGGAAGGGCTGTCCCTCAGGAAGCAGGGACCTCGAGAGCTGCCTGGCCACGGTGTATCCCCTCTCCTGGTAGCCATGAGACAGCAGATGTATCAGTGCAGTGTCAGGAGCTGTTATTCCCATGTAGAAATGCCGGCTACATCTCCAGCTGTATGAAGTTTAACATGGGCAAGTGCTGGATTCTGCCCCTGGGATGGGGCAGCCCCGAATGTAGGGACAGCCTGAGGGATGACAGGCTGGAAAACAGCACCGAGGAAGGGGATTGTCCCGCTCTGCTCTGGGCTGGGGTGGCCTCACCTCCAGTTCTGGGGATGCGATTGGGCACCTCAATATAAAAAAGATCTAAAGTTGTTGGAGAACGTCCAAAGGAGGGACACAGGGATGGAGAAGGGTCTGGAGGGGCCACATGAGGAGCGGCTGAGGACATTTGGTTTGTTTCAGCCTGGAGGAGACTGGGCAAGACTCCAGGGATCTGCAGTTTCCTCCGGAGGAGCAGATCCAATTTCTGCTCCCCGAGACCAGTGACAGGACCCGAGGGAACGGCTGGAGCTGTGCCAGGGCAGGTTTAGGTTGGATCTTAGAAAAAGGTTCTTCCCCAAGAGGGTGGTCGGGCACTGAACAGGCTCCCCAGGGCAGTGGTCACAGCGCCAAGGCTGACAGAGCTTTAGGAGCGTCTGGACAGCGCCGTAAGGCCCATGGAGGGACTGTGGGGGGGTCTGGGGCGGATCTCCGCTCCCGAGGGGTCTGTACAGGGGTGGCTGTACACAGGGCTGTCAGGGGCGGGTCCCCCATCCCGGGCTGTCTGACCGGAGGTGCCGTCAGGACCCGGGCTGTCCGTACGGGGCTCTCAGTTCCCGGCTGTGGGCGGTTCCCTGCTCCCGGTCCGTCCCTCCCCTCCCGCCCCATTCCCTGACTCCCGTCCCGCGCTCACGGCCCCCCCCGCGCAGTCTCGCGAGAGCAGCGGCCCAAGATGGCGGCGCGGAGCCGCGGCCCGTGAGGCGCGGGCGGAGCTGCGGCCGCTCCGGGGGCTCCGGGCGGTACCGGCCCCGGCGGCTCGGGCGGCACCGCCGGCCATGACCGGCGAGAAGCTCCGCTCGCTGCGCAGGGACCACAAGCCCAGCAAGGAGGACGGGGACCTGCTGGCGGCCGGCGAGGACGAGGCGGCCGCGGCGCCCGGCGGCGCGTTCACGGGCGGGAAGGGCGGGCGGGCCGGGGGGCACCGCGGACCCGGCAATCACCGGCACCGCCCGCCCGCCCGCGCCGCGACCGCCGGGCCCGAGCGCGGCCCCTTCCCCGTGCACGAGTGCGTGTTCAAGGGGGACGTACGGCGGCTCTCGGCGCTCATCCGCACCCAGGGCATCGCCCAGAAGGACAGTCACGGTGAGCGGGACCCGCCGGGGCTGCGGGGCCGGGGCACCGCGGGGGGAAGAGGGGATGGGGAGTGGGAATGGAGAACTTGGGGGAGCTTTCCAGAGATGTGCAAGTCCCCTTTAGAAGGGACTTTGGACAAGGGCCTGGAGGGACAGGACAAGGGGAATGGCTTCCCACTGCCAGAGGGCAGGGTTAGATGGGATATTGGGAAGGAATTGTTCCTTGGGAGAGTGGGGAAGCCCTGGCACAAGTTGCCCAGAGAAGCTGTGGCTGCCCCATCCCTGGAAGCGTCCAAGGCCAGGTTGGACGGGGCTTGTCCAACCTGGTCTATTGGAAGGTGTCCTTGTCTGTGGGCACCAGGGTGGAATGAGATGAACTTTGAGGTCCCTTCCTACACAAAGTATTCCAGGATTCCATGATTTTTGTAATATGACCGAGGACAGTATCAGCTTCTCTACCTCCCAGTGCTGGCAGAGCTGCTTCTGACCTCATGTGTTGCTCCAAACCCTCACATTTAAAAAATACATTCTTTTTTGAAGTGTCCAAACTGTCACCTGTTTACTCTGGGAGATGATGAGCAGTTCCTTTGGGTGTTGACAGAGCAATCTTTGATATTTCCCCAGGCTACAAAAACAAACCTTTTTCTCCCCTTTCTTTTTAAATGCTTTAATTCTGGGGTTTGAGAGAGCAAAATCTTGTTCCCTGCTCCTCTGCAAACTTGTTCTGTCCACAGAAGTGGCAGTGGCAGAGGTGGGAATCTGATCCTCGTGCTGCTCTGTAATGCCTAAATATTTAATGTCTTGCCAGGACATTTTAAAATGTGTTTATTTTGGGGAATATTTTATATTTTGTATTGTTAAAAAAGAAATCAACCTGGCAGATCACCTTAAGCTTCATGGTTAGTTTTAATCTCTATTTTGCCTACTTATTTCAAGAGTAACATGGTCCCTTTCTGCTGGAGAATTTCAAGTTACACGTCTGTGGTGTCAGAGATGTTGTGGCAAAGGGAACACTTGTGTTCTGTTTCTGATCGGGAGAGAAACGTTCCCTTGCTTTTTCTCAATTGTGGTCTGTGAAGTCAAAAGCAACATGAAAGTAGAGCAGTCTTGGGACTGGCATGATGACAGGAATAATGGAATTGGGAATTAAAGGCATGTCCTTGGTAACACTGGGCATGGAAACACAGCTGGAGGTCCAGAGTAACCCAGGGCCCAGCTCCCAGGCAGGAGGGCAGGAGTGTTCCTTACAACTGGCACCACATTTTCCTCAGGACGTTGTTACAAATAGAGCTGTAGATATGTTTATCCTGCCACCTTCATTCCAAACCCTGCATCAAATCCTGGTGGGATGAAAGCAGCAGACTTGGGGAGGATTTTTCCCACTCAATGTATTCCTGCTGCTTCTCCCCTGCTCCTCCTCTAGTTCCTCTTTAAGTAACTCAGCAGCAGCTCAAAATCTTTATTTTGAGGTACTTCCTGACCCCTTTTTGCTGCTCTATCACCCTCCAGGTGTATCTCATTGATTACATCCTTTTTTAATCCATATGTATCTTACACAAATGTCCCAATAACATCTGCTTTCTCAGCTCTCATTACAGTTGGGACACTTTGGGGATCTCTGACTCATCATCTTCCTCCAAGTTTTTACTCGAACTGTTCAAAAAACCCCACAACAAACTTCTTGATGTCTTGACATTCCAAAGGCCTGACTAAGATTTCTGTGTTATTGTTTTCTTCCTGCCTGAGTCCATCTGTCACTTGTTTGCATAGTTGAATTGGGAATTATTTGGGGGAGAGAAACTGATTTGCTCAGATATAAGCCAGAGGAATCCTAGGATGCGATAACGAAGGGACAGAGGAGAGAGAGAACTCCTAGGAACAGTTATTGTCTATAATCCAGGTCCAGTTTTTGGTGCTGGATCAGTGCAGGAAAGCCAAATCTTGTACAGTGGGAGACTCTTGGTGTTCTGCTAAAACAATTTGAGTGTTAATTGAGTGCAGCCTGTTGGGCTCCCTAAAATCAACCTCCTGCCCAGCGGAAGGCCAGTGCCCTTACTCCCAAAACAATGAGTTTCTTGGGAGAAACCTATATATACACCTATTGAATTACTTATATGTCTATTATAACATGCATTTAAGAGCTTAAATTGTGGAGTAGACAAATCCTCTTGCTGAATTACTGCTGGAAAACTGCCCTGGCTCCCTCATGGGTGTTGCAGGTGCCTTACCAGAGGTTAAAGGCTGTGCATGTTTGGGGGCAAGTGCCGTGTTTTGTGTGTGTTTTTATGCAAACAGTCCTTGTTTGCCTGCCTGGATGTGCAGTGCAGGATCCCAGGAACTGCTGGAGCACTGACTTCTTGAAATAGAAGTGTCTGTGCTGGGCACTGGTGAGGCCTCACCTTGAGAGTGTCCAGTTCTGGCCCCGCATGAGAAAGAAGAAATTGAGGGGCTGGAGTGTGTCCAGAGAAGGGAATGGAACTGGGGAAGGGTCTGGAGCACCAGGAGCGGCTGAGGGGGCTCAGGCTGGAGAAAAGGAGGCTCGAGGGGGACATTATCACTCTCTGCAACTCCCTGACAGGAGGGTGGAGCCAGGTGGGGGTCCGGCTCTGCTCCCAGGGAACAAGGGACAGGACAAGAGGAAATGGCCTCAAGCTGTGCCAGGGGATGCTCAGGTTGGACATCTGGAGGAATTTCCTCATGGAAAAGGTGGTCAGGCATTGGAAGGGGCTGCCCAGGGCAGTGGTGGAGTCCCCATCCCTGGAGGTGCCCAAGGAACAACTGGACGTGGCACTCAGTGCTGTGGGCTTGGTGACAAGGTGGGGATCGGGCTCAGGTTGGACTCAGTGGTCTGGGAGGGCTTTTCCAACCTCAGTGATTCTGAGATTCCATGATGTTATGAAAGTGTTTACCCCTGGCTCTCATAATTTGCATTCCCTGAGCACACACTGTGGCTCATGCTCAGATCCTCAGGAACGTTATTTGCAGCACCTCACAAAGCCTGGCTGCATCCAGGATTCCAGGGGATGCATTGGCTCACAGATGTTGGAGCAGCTATTAATAGAAACAGGGAGGTTAGTGAGTCGTAATGAGCTGGGATGGGCCTGCCTGGATGCTGCCAGTGACCCAAAAGATGATTTGCAGGACATGGAGAGCAGCTCACTTGGACATGTAGGGCAGAGTTTCCTTGTCCATCCAAGATTCCATGTGCTCCATGTGCTGGCATTTGTGTGGCTGCCTCTCATGTGTAGCGCATCCTCTGCACAGAGCAGGTTCTTCCTGCTGACATGATCCTGTAAAATAACCCTAAACCAAGTGTGTT